ATATTTACATACTTACATGTGAAATATGTTTGTTTGTATATATAATTTTGCTTCTAAAGTGGTGATTCGTGGTAAAGAGAGGGATATTTAATGCAGGATCCTGTCTTTTGAGTGGCACTATCCTAAGGAAATACTGCAGGAAGGCCTGAATGGAATGAGCAGGCTTTGCTATTCTGCAGCCAGCCAGCTGATGCAGTTCCCTATGCGTAGCACTGGGATTCATCCCCATGTAATGGACGATAGGGTAGAGTCTGGGGGGTTCAGCTTCTTGGAGACAAGGGTTTTGTGTGTCTTTAATATCTACAGAATACCTCTGCTTTTCTTCTACTCCCTGAGCATTAAGGAACTGGTAGGCAATAGTTGGAAAATTTAAATAAACCACAAAGTTGTATGTGCTGTACATGATCCCCGCAAGAGAGCCCCAAACTGCAGTAACTTCTCAGAGAACTTAGGCTGTGATTTAGTGGCATAGGAGCTATACACCTTAGCAAGGTGCCCCACATCTTCTCCTTCGGCTGATTTCGGAGAAGGTGCTCATCCTTTTTCAACTGTAAGTATTTAGCAAGGGATTCCCTTAAAGTCTTGGTTTATGTCTGCTGAGACATTGCTAAGCAAAGCTTGCAACTGCACAAAGTATTTGCAGTGTAAATTTTTGCTCCACAGTGAGTGCTGTAATCCTGTCACACTTGGTGTGTAAAATTGTGGTGGTATTGCTGACCTACTGTAGTCTCCCTTTTGCTGTTTATTGGATCTAGGTGTGTTCCTCGAGTAAGTTAATGTTATTATGTTATATATGGGGTTTTGTAGGGGTTTTCTTCCTGTGGTCTTTTTGTAGCTTTGGGTTTTCTGGCTCTGGATAAACAGTTTGCTTCCTTCTACCCCTTGCTGCCCACACTGCAATAGTAAAATGGTGTGCTGTTTCAGGTGTCTCTCCTGTCACTCTGATAAGATCATGCCACCAAGAAGGCATAACATTATAATCCCAAGCACAATGTGATCCTGTTCATTTCAACCCTTGTTCTTGTCTGACGGACAAGAAAAAAGGTTGTCCATAGGTGGAAGGTGAGGCTAGAATTGAAGATAGTTGAAGATAAAACACTGCTAAAAGAGATAAATCCTGCATGGGCACATTTCAGTTTGTAATCAAGGTATTATGTAGAAATGAACTTCAAAAGCTGGTTAGGATGTCCTGAATAATGCAGGATATAAAGGTGAACTAGAGGTTACAGAAGTGTAGTACAGACTTGTGATGGGAGGGAGGAAATATTTTGTCCTTCATTTTTTCTTAGATTTGATGTCAGATTTGAAAATATAGTCATAACAATACCATAGATAGGAATAATAAGATTGCTCTACAAGAAACAGATCTGTAAAAAACACAAGACACTGGAAGAAATGAGTGCTTTCCAGAAAAAGCCTCTGAAAAAAGGCAAAATTTAAGGCATGCCTTAGGGTATGGGGACTTCAGGCCCTTAAAAGAATCCCAGCAATTACCTAACCTGCCAACTTTCCAACAAGATAAATGGAAGCACTGTAGCTTGAAGGTGCCTTGGTTTGAATGAGATGCAGTAAGTAAGGTCTCTCTGTTCTTTACAGGCATCATAGATCTGATACTACTTATAAAAGAAGAATAGAGTTGGTGCCCTGCTGACTAAATTGTCCTCTAGAGGAGTATTAGTTACAGAGCTTCTTTGTTAACTAGGCTGTATGCTTAAACCTCTGTGAATTTCTCCTATTAGCAGGCTTCCTGATAGCTTTACATGTAGGTATGCTAAGTAAATGCAAGTGTATCCATGTAATTTATATATATAATGTGTATGTGTATACTGTTTAATACATAAATAAATGTTTGTGATGTGGAATTTGCACAGCTTCTCTACTGTTCTGTTAAAATGAGGTAAAAGCAAGCATTAAAATGCTGATAATAGGAGAACAGAAAGTCAGCTTCTGCTCTTTCTGTCCAGGTGCTTCACATGAAGTCTTTCTTCTCCTTCTCTTTAATTTCCCAATTAGCTTTTTTAGTTAAGAGAGGTGTTTCTAAAGCCTCTGTATGCTGCAAGTTTCCCAGTTGCTCTCCTGCTCAGGTTTTCCACCTTAGAAGACACGTTAAGGCCTCAAAGTGTATGTTAATAAAAAAGAAAAAAAACAAAATCAAAACAAACCCCCCCAACAAATTTAAAAACCCAAACCACCCTGTACAGAACAGCTGATATTTCCCATTTTAGCCCACTTGAAGACAATGTACGAGACTGTGTGGCACAGCCCAGACTTCTAGATAGGCAACAATCTTTTGTGCCATCCTGAGATCAGCCTCTTTCTTGGTTTTCTTCATGTGTCTGATAAGTAAACACTATTATTACATTCTCAGCGGACACATGGATTGTGAAGTTCCCTATTCCTGGGAGAAAATCCCAGTGCTTACACTGAGCACACGTGGGGAGTGTGCTGTGCCTGCCAGGCTGCTCCTTCAGCCTGCACTGCATGAGGGTGGCATGGCTTCACAATTTAAATAGGCTGGTGTCATGCAAGCTTTTCTCTTCCTTTTCCACCTTGGTGAAAGAGTTTCATCAGGCAGATGAAGAAATTCCTGGAAAGCAGGTGCTCGAGAAAATGCCTGAGACTCATCAGTTCTGCTCTTGTGGAAGGCTGGAGAAATCAATGTGACCTGATGGGAAAAGTAGATTTCAGTCCCATCCTGAACTTTTGCCTTAGCCTGTGAACAGTAGATAATTGCATCAAGGACAGTGCTAATTTCTCCATGGCTTTTCCATCATCCTGGCAAATTTGTTTCTTCAAGTACTTTGGTTGGCCAACACAAACGAAACTCCACACACCCTTTTAAAATCTTTGTTATTCTAAACATAAACCTGTGTGCTTTCTATATCTTCTGTCAGTTGTGTGCCTGGTTTTTTAAACAGAATTTATATTTCTTTAGAATAGGCTCTATTCTGTTACATTCTGTTTTCAGAGGTTTATTATATGCTTTCCAGGAGCATTTGTTTTATCAGCACTTCCTGCAGCATTTGTTACTCATGACAACAGCAGTGATTTGATTCCATTCAGAAGAATACCATATTATGTATGGAAAAGCAGTAATTGTTTACCTGTTTGCCAAATACATTCTATGAAAAATATCTAGTGTTGCTCTATGCAGTACCAAGTAGTGTTATTTCTTGTTTACATTTTCTACAGTTGATAGTTCCAAAAAAGAAACAATGAAAATAGTTTGTTGCCCACTTCATAATTAAATTTCCATTTGTACAGATTTGGAAGTCTACTCTTGAGTGAATGCAGCATCCACATGTAGGCTGAAGTTTTAGCCTTAATTTTGGCTTTTCATATGCCTAACGAAATACAGGTCCAATTTCATGCTTGTCAGAAAGAGCAAAATTTAACTATGGTGGGAGTTATCCTTGAAGTATTTGTGGGTGCTCCTTGGAAATAAGGTCCACAAGATGCTCTGCAGGGAGCTAAGTCGCGTGGTTTGTATTCACTACCCTTAAGCACGAGGAGGAATAATATGTAGCATTCTATGTGGCTTCTAGTGAGTGTTAGCAGTGCTTAAACTGTTAATCCTCCTCTTCCTGTGCCTTGGAAGAATGACCATGTCCGTCTTTTAGGGGAACCTGGCTGTGAGCCTCCCTTGTAATGGAGGTAGTCATCACTGGGTACGGCTCTAAATACACCACTTGAGTTTTGTCCATGTTCTGTGACTTCTAAAAAACTTTCATTTTATAGCATGAAAATTAGACAGCACTAAGGCTTTGCTTCCTGAGCTCTTTGCTCAGGCAGAACCCAATTCTTTTTGTCCTATTCAGACATGGGGTCCTGCTGTCTGTGGTGCAACCACTTGCATGAACCAAACAAATGAAGTTAGGATCAGCCAAAGTAATGTACTCTGTCATCCCAGTTATTTCAAGTCTCAGAGGTCATTTAATGATCTGATCTATATGTGAGGTAGCTCCGTGCCACTTTTTAGAGCTTTAATTTGCTAATAGAAATAGTAACATAGTAACATGCTCCTTGTGACCTGCCAATAGCTACAGAAGTACAGCAATATTGGCACCTTTTGGTTTGTATGAGGTTTTTCTGTGATGCTTAGGAATGAACATTTTTCCTGACAGTTGGGAAGCATGTGCTTGCTTTGTCACAGCATTCTTGGTTTTTCATATCTGATCTTAAAATTATTTAAAACCCCTAATTACTCTCACAGATTCAAAGATGAGTATAACTCCTGTGTTACAACTCGAGGGAATATGTCCAGCAGTTCATAGTTAGAATTCAGATGTGCTGTGACCTACAGAGGAAATTTCTCATTGAAAATGCAGCAGTTATGAGATGAAATGGAGTAACTGTTTAGCAGTGTATTCAGACAAAATTGGAGAGAACCTGTGAGCTGTGCCTTGGTATTTGATGGAAGTGGAGAAGCAGCAGTCCTTGTTCCTTGGTGACCAGTGGATCCAGTGCTGCTGCTGAGGGCAGGGCCTCTTCTCATCTCCTTGCTTCAAGGCAGAGGAGCTGCAAGGGAGGGAGTGCTACAGGGCTGCATATTTTACACTCTTCTTCTCTCATTGTCGTAATGGTTTAGAGTGAAGTGTATAAGCTGTGATTGTAATGGTAGCAAACCCCGAAATTAAATACTGTGTAGAAGTGAAACTGATGTATCATTTTCATTAGTTTTGGTATGCTCAGGCAGAATTTGTGGGATTAATTTTGAAAGCTTAATCCAGATGGAAAAGGTTAAATTCAATGCTGAATGAATTTGGTTCCAATTCATTTGTTGCCCTTGCTTGTTCCTTTTCTCAAAAGAATTAGCTATTAAGCAAAGAACTGTGCATACCGTCCTTGTTTTCTGCCATCATTTAACTACTTGTTAAAGACAACCTCTCAGTTATCTGCTGCAGTAAGTAAACAAATGGATCTATTGCCATGTCAGCTCTTGAGTCCTGTGGCCTGAGTATTCATGCAAGCACTTACATTCATTTTTCCTTTTTCCTCAGGATTTATCTGGATCCATTGACGACTTGCCGACTGGAACTGAAGCAACCCTCAGCTCAGCTGTTAGCGCGTCAGGCTCTACGAGCAGCCAAGGGGAGCAGAGCAACCCTGCACAGTCTCCGTTTTCCCCTCATGCTTCTCCACATCTCTCTGGCATCCCTGGGGGCCCATCGCCTTCCCCTGTAGGCTCACCCGTTGGAAGCAACCAGTCAAGATCTGGTCCCATTTCTCCAGCGAGTATTCCAGGTGAGTTTGTTCTAACAAACGAAATTAAACCAATTGGTAGGTTTATTAAATATATAAATAAATCCTCCTGTATTCTGAGCTTATTTATTTTCTGAGAATCCTCCATTTTCAGGGCCTTTATCTGAAAAAAATTCATACCTAGAGCAGGAGTAAATTCAATCTAAACTTCATCTGCCAAGCCCTCAGAATGCTCAAAATTCTGAGCTTGACTCCACATAGGTGTTTGATAAATGTCTTTATCACCAACCAATGCGAATAGTTAATTGTAGTTTTTGTATTTGGTTTGTATGTCATTTGTCACATACTTCTCTCAATTATTTACAGTCCTTTTTTTGTTATAACTGTGTGCTTCTGTAGGGTTTGGCTCTTGAGCTTGAATGGTGGTTACAGACCTGCAGGATGAAGCAGAGATTTTCCAACTCTGCATTGTGGCAATGTTATTTTGGACATGAGTACAGAATATTGTATGAGATATTTCTTAATATTTGCAAAGATTAGCAAGTTACTAGGGATTCAGTTCTACCAGTAGTAATTGGAATACCAGTGGCAGGCTTGCTGCTCGCTTTCTTGTGCAATTTGGAGTATGATACACAGTCATGTATATTCAGAAATTTGTGGAAATGCGTCAAAATACCCAGAAGAAAAAAATGGCATACATTAATTTCAGTTCTTACCTTATCCCCACCCATCTGGTATGTTACTCCAGGGGTCAGGCAGCAATTTGTATTTAGTATTTCAGGTGAGTTTATTCTCTTTCTAATGCTCAAGTATTTTTTTATTATCATCTGACATTTTGAGTACTAGGGGAATTCCTAAGAGTAGGAGAGTGCTGACATTACCCTAGGGTGAACATCAATTGCTGACAAAACCACAAAATAATAAACATGGAGCTCAGTTAAAAGAAACAAAAGCAGAGGTGCCTTTTTGTTAGGTGGTTTGAGTGTTGCTGTTAACCAAATGCTAGTTAAAATTCAGAGGGTAGTGTGTGTTTCTGTATTTGATACAAAGGTATCTGTGTAAAATGTTCCTGCCTGTTTGTCTGCAGAGGTTAAACTAGATCAGCAGAGGGAAGTAAGCTCAGTGCACATGGGAATGTTTAGTACTAAATGTGGCCTGAGGATGTTGAGCCCTGATGCTGTGTGCATGCCCTGCAGTTATTTTTTGCCTCTCCAGCTACTCGGACTGACAGCACATGCTCAGGTGGAGCAGGAATAGTGGGGACAGAGTATTTGCATTGTATGCAGTGTGGTAGCTTTGTATTTCCAAGACGGCTCCCAGTATTTTGTGTAGAAATCTATCTCTCTTGTTTAGTGAAGCCAGATAGCCTACCTGGCTGGAAAGGTAACATTTTGCCACAGTCAGATTCAGGTGAGTAAATGGATTGGCATTTTAGCAGCCTGATTGCTGAATAGGGAAAAAATGTTGTGACACTGAAAATAGCATTATTGTAACCATGATACGTAAGGATGAGCATAAGTGTGTAGGGGGAGAGTAATAACTTTTATGAAACCGCCTGATCCCTGTGGGGTAAAAATAGAAGGGATATGGGTTCAGAGGTCAGGGTCAAAGTCACTTCACCACTTCAGATGAGCCCCAAAAGCTCATTTTTATAACTCACCTAGTGAAAAGCATTGTCTCTACATACTAACTGTGCCACCATTTTGCACAGTGGTTTTCTGGTCTGCTGCAGTAACACAAAAGCAATTCTTTCTCAGGAAGGATTTTTATGAATGGTGCTAAATCAAAATCACCCTCCACTGTTTCCCTGTCACATACAAGCTTCTGGTCTCTGCAGCTTTTGCTAAAGGTGAACTCCCAGGCATGAGCTAAGGCAGCACGCTCCGGAGGGCAGCCAGGCAGCTGCGATAGCATTGCTGCTGCTGCTGCTGCTGCTGCTGCTGCTGCTGCTGCTGCTGCTGCTGCTGCTGCTGCTGCTGCTGCTGCTGCTGCTGCTGTTTCTCGAGCTACAAAAAGCAGGAGCAAGGCTGCTATTTAAAGCCCTGTGATAGAGGGATGCTGCTGGGTGCTGGGGCTTTCAAGCTACATGAATTAGATTGTGCTTTCACCTAAGCGTGTTTGCACCATTGTTCTTCATTACAAGGACTTCGGTAGCTTTTATCATCAGCTGCATTCATGAGACCCTAACAAAAGGTACCACAGAGCTTGTTTGCATTTCTGTGGCTGTTTGCAGTAGTCAGGTTGTAGACGTTTTCAAACATAGATTGTGTAGTACAGCACCTTGCCTTTAATAATTTTGTTCTCTGCTATTTTCTTCTCCGTTCTCACCCTACCCTTGTTTGTTCTGACCTCATTCCTCTCCTATTACCTCCTGCGATGTTGTGCCACAGTTTCTCAATGTGACATAGATTGGCTCTTTCAATCATTCTCTCTCCAGCAAGTCATTGTAAAATGAGCAGCTGTTGTGTTGCTGATAGCTATGGCTAGGGAAAGCCAAAGTGTTGCAGGGGGTTCTTGGTGGGAAGACCGTTAAAATAAAGGTGTTGCTTTCCCAGGGTTTACTGGAAGAGAAGCATCCTTTTCCCCATGGCTCCTTCCTTGCAAAAAAATTGAAAACTAATTTAACATCAAAAGGGCAAGCAAACAAACAGCCCCCTATTAAACCTCCCAAATGGCTGATTCTCTTCCACTGCCTGTTTAAGCTGTCTCTGCACCCCTCCGTAAGCCTGCCACCCCGCATTGCTTTCTGCTGCACGCCACGAATTTCACAGGAACAGCCTGGCACAGGCAGCACTGACATTGGCACGTCCCTAGCTCAGTGGGCATTTCCTTCCTGTGCTCTCTGAAATACTGGATGGATATTTTGTGTGGTAAGTGGCACATGCATATACAGCCTTTGTTTCCATTCACATTACCAGAATAGACCAGGGAGATAAACTCCTAAGAGCAGAAAAAGCAACTTGGATGAATTTTGTTCAGAAAGGTAGTTCTGTCTCAAAATCAGAAGACTTCTTGTTCAGATGTGTGTTCTTTACAGGGCTGAAATCCTACTCTTCTATAATTTATACTGATTCAAAATGACATTACTATTTCCTATTAAGTAGATCATTATTCTGTTTTGCCAGAAATCCTGATCTCTCTATTTTGTAGCCATCTTTATAATTAGGGTACATATTCTTCCAAAGAATGAGATGTGATGCCCTGCACTGCTTTGGGTCTTGAACTGTGCCTGATTCAACCCTAAACCATTAGTGGAAGCTGACACAGCACATATCAAAATGCACTGCTGTTGCCAGAAGGTTTAGTGGCTGTTAATTTCCCTTTTCTCTTTTTTTTTTTTTTTCTCCTTCCCTCCTGCTCTAACAGTTCCAGTTTACTAACAAAGCAAAAATGTAAATAAGCTAAGCTTTCCTTTCTCCCCCCATCCCCAATTTTGATCTCACTGGCCAAAGGCTTTTGTCAGCTCTTTCTCCCTTGCGGTGTAAGCAGCAAAATTTTTTTAATATTAAGAGTTCTGTGAAAGATTGCTGATAGGCCAGGAATCCCTTAACCCATGATGGACAAGCAGATTTTGTAAAAGTTAATCGATTCTATTATTTTTAAACCCCTACAGCAATTTTTATCTATATAGAAGAGATGGGTCTGCTATGCTAATGAGTAGCAAATGCTGCCTTTAGAAATAGGTAATTTTATTTTGTTTTTCACATGGATCAGTATTTTGACTTAGGCTCGCATAGATCAGTATTTTGACTTGTGCTTTTAAGACATTCCATGTACTTTCTGAAGAAACAAATTTATTTTCACTCTATTAAGCATCAACTACATTGTTTTTTTTTATTGCAATTATAGTCTTCTCTCACTGGGGAGCTCGGATACAGATGAAGTTACAATTTTCAGGAAGAAATCCATTTGTGAATACTCTGGCTTAAGAGTGTTATTGCCAGGCTTCTTAATTTATGCTAACCAGTCAGCATCCTCCCCTGATTAGAAATAATTCAAATTTTAATTGTGATAAGTATGCGAATCAATGGATGTAATCCATTCAATGTTAAACTCTACTCTCTGCAAACCTGGAGGTCTTCCACACCTGTATTGATCAGCTAGCTGGCTTGAATTCCAGGATCCATCAGAATTACAGCATTACAGCCAGCATTCCAGGCAAAAGAGAGGCACAGAAGGGAAATGGGATACCCAGTTGGACCAGTTACAGGAAAACTTGTCTTGGTGTGCATGTTAGTCAATGTGTGTGACTAAAATGCAGCAAGAAGAAAAACGTGTAGTGGTAGTAGTCTATCATAGTCCAAAGGGACATTGTACTGCAAGAATCTGACTAGGAATGATGCTTTCCTTTATGCCTTATAACAAAGAAGCCTAGCAGTTGAACCAGTTTCCAGAAGATACTACAGTAAAACAATAGTTTTGCTGTAGATCTTGTTTTTATAAAGAATTTGGAAAAGTCTTTTCCTTGGGATTGAGCTATTCTACATACTGTGAACCACCATTATTGGTATGTTATATGGCATGGACCTCTTTTAAACATTATTTGAGGGAGAGAAGGCTACCATATGTAAGTGATAAACACTGTTTAATGTCTTTGTGGGTGACAGGGACAGCAGGATCGAGTGCACCCCCAGCAAGTTTTCCAGTGACACAAAGCCTGCAGTGCAGCTGACACACAAAGGGAAGGGATGGCATCCACAGGGACCTGGGCAGGATTCAGAGGTGGGACTGGATGAACCTCGTGAAGTTCAACAAGGCCAAGTGCAAGGTCTGGCACCTGGGTCAGGGCAATCCCAAGAGATACAGGCTGGGCAGAGAATGGATTGGGAGCAGCCCTGAGGGGAAGGACTTGGGGGTGTTGGTGGAGGAAAAGCTCAGCAAGACCCGGCTATGTGCACTTGCAGCCCAGAGAGCCAACCTTGACCTCAGCTGCATCAAAAGCAGCGTAGCCAGCAGGGTGAGGGAGGGGATTCTGCCACTCTGGTCTGGTGAGACCCTACGTGAAGTTCTGAACTCTGGGGTCCCCAGCACAAGCAGAACCT